TTCCACGTACAGTGAGGGGTGATCGTCTGGTCAAGTGCTGCTGAAGGTGAAATTAAACGTCTGTACGAGAGCCATAGCGACCTTAAGCCGCGGAATTTAGCCCGGGGTTCATGGGTTTACGATTCGGCTTTCAGGTTTCGGTTTAGGGGTTTAGGGTTCACGTTTTGTTGCAGGTCAGCTTGTTGACTTTCAAGTTTGAAATCAGAGTTATGGGAACTCAACTTGTCAGACAGCAACCTTTTCTCGTGAGCTTAGTCTGAAATCAGCAGTCTGAAATCAGCTTCGTCTGAAATCAGCAGTCTGAAATCAGCATAGCCATGATGCCTGCCACTCCTGAGTGGCCAGCCACTGTGCGTTCTCCCGCAAGGATGCGCAGAGGTTTTGCGAGATGCTGGCCGAAGCGCACGGTCCAGCCTATGTGGACGACACATTGAACGATGGTTTGCAGAAACTTTTTCAGCGGTCCTTGAAGGATCAGGAAATGGATGGGGACACAAGCAAAGATGCCTTGTCTGAAATCAGCCGTCTGAAATCAGCAGTCTGAAATCAGCATAGCCATGATACCTCACAAAGCGGCTGTTTTCACACAAACCCAAAACCCTGACAAAGTACGGGGGCTGAAAACAGCCACAATCCGGGGAAAAAGGCGAGGTAGAAGTAGTTGCCTCTTGGTTTGTGCCTTTTCCTAGTGCAGAGAAGTGCCTCCAGGCAACCTTACCCGGAGAATGCCCGAAAAGTGTGAGTGTAACCAAGTCATGCGCTGAGAGCAGGCAGGCTCGGGCAGGGGTGCTTAGGGTGCTGTTCTAGCCTTTTAGCCGCTACAGGGTCTCGACTAGGGTACGTGCAAACACCGAGCCTGTTGAGTTTGACACGGATAGAATGTGGATTGTGTTGTGGGCAGAAGTCACGATCTTGCTGTCGCCGGTGCTGCTTCGTCGGAATATAATATTAACATGTGCTTGACATTGAGCAAAAGGAATGAAATGAGCACGGGTGTCAGTGTGCGGAATGACAGCGTGAGTTTAAACCCAATGCCAAGGCCTGCAACCTTCAAACCGACCAGTGCTGCAAATCTTGCATGGAATTGTCTGTTTTGTTCTCGCCGTTGTGATGAATTGCTTCAGCCGCGCATTGCTCAAGCTGTTGTATTGTTTGTTCTTCCTTAGCCTTGAAACTTGCCCTTTCATTCCGAGGGCCATGTGGTTGAACATCCGTCAAGTCGCTGCTGGCCTGGAGACCTCTTTGAAGCTTTCCTACCCAGATACAGACAAGTTGATGTGGCTTTGGTATTTCCACAACCTCCAAGTTGTTCTGGACTCCTTTGTGGATTCCAACGAGGGTTCTGAGCAAATTTTCTGGCTGAGAGCTATGGCAGATGTATGCCGATTGTTGCAGAAATACATGTGTGAAATGCAATGCGATTTCCGTCCGGATTATTGTGGGCCTTTTCCTCCAACTCCTCTGGGGAGGCTTGCTCCTCCTGTGTGCCCAGACCAAAAAGAAATGGGTGATCACTTCTTTGAGGCCAAAGAGTTCCTCCAGAAACATTCGGATGTCTTTCTCCGCCAGAGCTGCTGGTACAAGATCGCCTTTGAGATTGAGGAAACTTTGAAGGATCTCGAATATGTCCCTTCACCCACATCCAAGGACGATTCGGAAGACTAAGACTTGATTCAATGTGCCACAGTGGCCTTCGGCTCAGCATCTAGGGAGCCGGAATTCTGCAAGTGCCCCAGGCCTCATGTCAGCGACGGCGAATAGTGGAGCTTTCCCTCGTTGCCGCTATACTGTACGGTGCTGTAGTGGTGACCTAAGTAGAGTAGGTTCAGGTGGTCAGACAGAGGCGGGCCAGTTTGAGTGGGGGACCAGTCCATGTGTCGTTTTATGCTAGTAATGGGTAGCATTGAGTGGTGGGTGGTGAATCCCCCCACAGGTCCCTAATCACAGACTCGGCTAGCAAAGCCCTTCTCAGCGAGCCGCTGATTCAGCACGTTCCTGGGTTGCGGGGAAAATGGTGAGCCGACTGCTGCATGAGTTTATAGTGGGGTTTAAGGACACGGTTTTATATGGTTTTGTCTGGGAGAGCAACCTTTTCTTTCTCGTGAGCTTAGTCTGAAATCAGCAGTCTGAAATCAGCCGTCTGAAATCAGCTTCGTCTGAAATCAGCTTCGTCTGAAATCAGCAGTCTGAAATCAGCATAGCCATGATGCCTGCCACCCCTCAGCCGAAGCGGCATTCCAACTAACCGAACGGGCGGGAGGAAAAGAGGGCTCCTACACCTTTAGACCCGAACAACCGTAAGCCCCATATCCTTTCACCCTGCGATAGGCTCACAGACCACGGGGCACATGTGATAGGCCGCGGAACCGTCAGCACTATTAACTCTACATTGTGTCCGTGGCAACTCTGAGCCAACTAATTAGTAACTTCGCATGACTACGCATGTGCATGTATGTGTCAATTTGTTGTCTCCGACATGCATGTCACCTTTGGCCAGCTCGATAAAGGCCACAGAGTCTGAGGGTGAGCATGCATCCCCCCCCACAAACTCTTGCCCGTGCCGATAGAACTTATGCTCAAACTAAGCGCCCCAGCAGTTGGACCAATGAGAACCAACCCAGGCCCAGGCCCGGACATCCTTTCACCGCATGAGTTGAGTAGGGAGTGCTTATGGGGCTGGGGCCTCCAGGTTTTGCTGAATGCTTTCCCTCCGGACCTCTCATATGTCGCTTCTTCCCGACTACTCACTCGCCTTAGACGTATGCGAAGCATCATACCACTTCGGCATTGTGGAGCCGTCCTTTGGAGTTACTGGGTTACGATTATGGACGTTCTTACGTCTAACATTGTCTCTCATGAATCTGATCGACCGCCCTACGTTAATGTGCTCGATAATAACAGGATTTGTATTTGGTCGGAGCAGGTAAGTTTCCGTATCTATTGTACATTGGACTGTTACTCGGGTATTTATACGGGATGGAATCTCCCCTACTCTTGGCCCTCCTGTGAACTTCGACTCGATACTGAGAGAGTGTGTTTCGGGGGAGTGGAAACTGATCGACGCCCTCTAACGTTGGTATCACACTTTCGTCTGATGCACCCAGGCCGACCCTCTGACCACTCATCGTCTACTGTTTCCCCATAATGCTGAATCTTGTGTCTCAATGCTTGGAGCTTGCTTGCTTCCTTGGGCTTTTAGACCGCATTTGTTGCACTGCTGTGATTTCCGTAGTCCCCTCCTTAAAGCACCTCCCCTCTACTGCTTCTTGGGCTGAGTGTCCTGAAACCCAGCTGATAATGCCACTTAAGGCCTGAGGTTTCGGATCCGGAACGAGTTACAAACAATGCCGCCTGGGGTGGCTAGAGTAGCTGTAGATGCACTGTACTCCCAGTTTGCACATAATAATAGATACGTAGCTGCCCCGTCATCACCCGGGTCCATTAAGAAACCCAAAACCACCCAATTCGACTCCTATACCTCAGAAGATACTCAAGCCACTCTCCCCTGGCGCTCAGACTTTGCGATCGGAGGGTGACAATGTTGAAGCAGGGACGTGTGTAAGACATGCCCCAAGGAGTGCTGGCAGGGGTTTGGGGTCTTTTCAGGCCCTTAGGGTTGCTTTCTCTCTGTGTGTTCTGACTCTGTTTCTAAGCTCCTGAACCCACAATTTTAGCATGTTTTATTCCTTCTTCCCCCCTTTAACCTCGATATATCTTGGGTCTCTTGGGGTACTTACTCGCCTTGGTAGGTCTCTGCGATTGATTGTAAGAAGCTAGATCCTAAGAAACCACGAACCCTCGTCAGTGCTACAGCCATGGCCGCAGTCGAACACTGGGTGTTGCACGATGCTGCACACTGATTATGACCCCGGCTGTCAGTGCAAAGAAAGGGGTCACTCTGCGCTGCTTCTGGCAGGCTTGTGGTACAAAGGCGATATGAGATACTGACAGCTGACTGCGAGGATGCATGCTATGTCGTGGATAATGAATCCTGAGAATCCTGAGAATTTATTGCATGATGCCCGTGCCACACGATGAGTTTCTGACAACTGTTTTGAATTTACTGCAAGCCAAAGCTGGATCACGATGATCAAGCACAACGAGATCCTGGCGCCCATCCTGGGGGTTACTGCAAGTGTTGTCAGTTGCTGTGATGTCTCTTCATAGACGAGCCTGAGTTCGCGCCATGGAAGTGTGTAAACCTAACACACGGCATGGTAATTTGAGACTCTGCTCGCGACAGCCATGATAGCTTTCTTCGGATTCTTCCTGGCCCAACGCTGGCAGCAACACTGCAACTTTGCGTGTGCATGTAGCCTCCATATGCATGACAGTAACCCCCAGCACTCAGTCCATGGCTCCATTCGGTATCACCCCTTTGAAAAGTACAGCTGGTCAATACGACTAGGAACAGCGTGTATCATCGCGATGATGATACTCAACCAGATCACCTGTACCCGAGCCATCTCGGCTCTTTATAGTTTTTACGACATTTGCCTACCTATTATGTTACCTCCTCGAACCCGAAGAAGTGATCTGAGTAGCTACATTCTTCCCGAGGTCTTACTGGTTCTAGTTTGCTTCAATTCTGTAAGATCTTGGGAAGGGTTCAGTCGCTGCGGATACAGTCACTTTATGTGTTGCTATAGCCTGTTGCTTCGTACTGTGACGGACCCATCATCGGTTTCACATTGTCAGACTCCGCATCAATTGCCTCGCCTGGATTGTCCGAGTGTGAGCGCCGAAACCCTAAACCTTTAAACCCTTAACCTCGGAGGTCCATCTTGACAGGTCTTGTAAGTTTGTTGCCCCGACGGAGGCTTTGTGGTTCACTGAAGCTCCAAACCCTGAACCAAACCCCATATTATAACCCAGCAGTGCTCAGATTCACTCCCGCCAAGTTGACCTTGACAGCCCCCAAACCCTAAACCTTTAAACCCGAAACCTCGGGGGTCTTTTTTGGCAGGTCTTTTATAAACTATCTGAACCAGAGCTTGGCCATGGAAGAGTCTGGAGAGGTTTTTCGGTCCTTCTCCTGGACTTTGCCGCATGGGCATTGCTTAGCTGGCTACTTCAACAGCAACAAAGAGGCCGAATGGTATTCGGACCGACTGCTTCACAATCTGAAGATTGATGGGACGAAGGATCATGTGTTCTTCCAGAGAAACAACGAGAAGTTCAAGGCTGAGCTGGAGGGCGCTGAAGTTTCTTAGTCGCATAACTTTAGCTTATTTTTCTGTTGGGGCTTCGGGTTTCGTAAAGAGCTTGCCTATTCGAAAGCAATGTTATGCCCCCCAATCCAAGGTTCCATTGTCGCAGCTGCATTACCGAGGGGCAGGGAGTGAAGATCCGCACAAAGCTGGGCACACAGTGGAGACAAGAGCTCTGCTGGTGCTGTTTGGGCTGTTGCCAGGACGCCGGAAGCTGCAACCCGAGACTAAAACTAAATCGCTGGTGCTGGTAGAGGAGATGCTGAGGCAAGCCTGTGCAAAAATAGCCCTGTCTGGCATTCAGAGAGGCAGGGTTTCGTGCAACTTTGTCTCCGATGTTGACAGCTCCCCGATTGCCCTCAGTCTGGATTTTTTGAAGATGGCAGCACACGAAGTTTGGCCGACCTGGAGAACTTGCATAAGGGTGCAAGCAAGGGCTGGGACAAGCTTTCGCAGCACGCTTGGTGTGGTCGCAAACTTTCAACCACTCTTCAGCAAACGAACCTTTGGGATATCTACCTCTTCCTAATATGGAGCAAGCACAACCCGAGTTCGAAGATCTGGGAGCAGTTCTCTGTACACCTTTATCCCAAGGTTGTTTTCTTGGCTGGTTACTTGCTGGAGGCCTATGTCGATGAACTTGCCAACTTGCCACTGGCACCGCTTCCCCTTTTGAAAACCAAGCATGGAAACAGTCGACGAGTTCCGAAAGTGAACAAAATCATACTTTTACAACGCGTGAAGGCGCAAAAGCGCCACAGAGGAGAAGTCATGCAGACGCACACTGACTTGACGCCACCTCAGATCGCACTGGTGCGAGCTGAGGCTAATTTGGAAGTGGCTGAGTATGTCAAGCTCTTGACGACCGAGCCTCGGCATCAAACTTTACGGCTCGCTGTTAAAACCCTAGACTCTAGACCCTTAAACCTAAACTTTAAAGCACTATTTGAAAATAGAGTTTAGGGGTTAAGCCCGAAACCCTAAACCACGTTTTCATTCTGATGGTTAGGCCTTGGGCAGGTAGGGTCTGTTTACTATTTATAAAAGTGGGTTATCTTGTAGGGTTTAGATATTAATTTAGATTATTCTAGAACTTGAAGAGGTGTTTTATTTGAGATTGACCGTTACGCTTTTGCCTGCCCTGCTATGGCCTGCTGAGCACAAAGGTTTTATGTTTCAGGGTGTTGTTGAATTGATATGAGATAGATCTTTAGGCTTCTGGATGTCAGGGCCTGCTTGCAAGAACTAACTTACCTTGTCAGGCCTTTGCCGACACGCAGCATGTCCAGGTGTCCTGGGATGCGTCAACCTATGATGTGGAAACTTTAGTGGCGATCGCATACGATTACAAGAAGAACGTGTCGGGCTACTTACCCATACAAAACATCAGCCCCGTCCAGACAGCAGAGTTGCACGAAACTGTGAGGACATTGGCTGTGCAAGGCCGGATCACACGTGTCGAGAGTTACAATACAATGCGATCTTTCAGCCATGCCCTGAACTCAATTGGGCTTCCGCTTGCCGCCTTCGCAAAGCCTCCAGACCTACTTCTGGGGCCACTCCGGGCTGAGGAGGAACGGGTGCTGATGAACGGGACCTACTTCATCTATAATACCACGACACAGTCGATTCAAAGACAGGTACCGACTGCATGGAGTCTGGCGAAGCAGCCACTGTTGATCTCGGTGAGCGATCAGGGACCGCTGAACTGTCCTGGTCTCGATCACTTGCAGTTCAAGCTTCGTGGGTTCGTGCTTCCCTTGTATGATCAGAGTCATCGTACATGGAACGACTTGAAGTCGGCCATGAGGAGTGTGAAGCTCTTTCGCATCCTCCTGCAGTTCTCCATTCTCTACAACATGAATTATGGACCTGGAGGCACCAAGGCTTGGATGGCCAAGAAGCAACAGTATGCAGAGGAATTTAGAGCCAAACAGACAGCTGATGGCAAATCTTCCTCAGCTACATGCCGTACATCTGCCATGAGATGGGCCTTTCGGAGCCAACGACTGCTGAGGAGAGGGAGGCACTCTTCGGGACGATCACTTCGCTGCAGACGCTGCAGCAGCATGGACCACTCGTCAAACTCATGAGATGGTTTTCTTACTTCCAATCGCACCAATTTTATGCTGGCGAACACTTCTGGACAAAGATGCTGATTGGGGAAGGTGGGCCGCCACAGCAAGGCATCCAGCCTGAGGCAGTGCTGACACCGGATATCTTGGCCGGCAATCTGGACGATCGAGAGGAGCTACGACAACTCAAGCTCAAGATGGGCTCATGGCGACTTGCACCGTTGCTCGTAACACCATGGACCTGGTGGAAAAACGAGCTTTTGGTTTCCATGGCGACGCCAGTCTGGAGCTGCTTCACACAGAAAGCACCTTGGGTTATTGCTAGTCGATGACATCAGCCCTGAAACCCTCAACCCCTCGAACTTCGGGGCCTGGCTCCGATAATAGCTGCACTTCCGCCAAAGACAAATTACCAGGCTTCGCAGACTACGCCTTCGATGAGTTCGTGCTGTAGTCGCTGCTGAACCTGTCTGAAATCAGCAGTCTGAAATCAGCCGTCTGAAATCAGCTTCGTCTGAAATCAGCTTCGTCTGAAATCAGCAGTCTGAAATCAGCATAGCCATGATGCCTGCAGAACTTGAGTCCTGAAACCCTCAATCCCTCGAACATCTAGCTTCTCAATCCGAAGCAATGATTAACTCTTGATGCAATTGAGACCCTACCAAACCGCTCCAGGCCCAGCAGCTCAAGTTGCCTCACGAGATCGCCGGTGACATCGCCAAAAGAGCTGGGACCAAGCTCTGGGCCGAGGAGATCCACGCTGTGATCGGGAATGGCTTCTTTGATGGGCCTCAGAAACTGTACCCGGCTCGCTTTCTTTCAAACGAGGAGGAAGGACAGTGCATCTCTTTGCACTTTCGGTACCTCATGCAGCTACTTCAGCTGCCTGGCCTTTTTTATTTTGGTCCTCGACACCTAGTCAGGACTTGCTGAGCCTTACCATCCTTCTGGGTTGAGTCCATTTCAAGGTTTATAGGGTTTAAGAGTTTAAGGTTTAGGGTTTGGCGCTTAGGGTTTAGAAGGTTTAGGGTTCAGGGTTTACAGGGTTTAGAGTTTAAGGTTTAGGGTTGAGGCTTTAAGCCCCCACACTACCGAAGACTGAATAAGGAGACGTGTGCAGAGCTCCGCTTCGTACTACCTCCGACCGCCTTTTCGATATGCTGGGGCACTTCTTGCAGAAAGCAGGGAGACCACCCTTCGCCAGATGCATGCCGACTGGGCAGCCGTCTTGAAGGCCGAGAAAGCCATGGCTGGTGGAGCAGGCATGGAACCCCTGAAGGAGATGCATTGGCGGCTGAATTCCGTCAACAGGCTGATCCACTTGATCCGGGACATGGCCGAGGTCGCTTCAACAACAGCCGAACGCCGGGCCTACAACAACCAAGTGGTTGAGCTTCTGACCTTCGTCAGCACGCATCTTGCCGACACAGTTATCGTGGAAAATACACATCAGATGGCCAAAGACGCGCTCAGGGACGCACGCCACTTTCAAAAATCTCGGACAGGGAAGCAAGTTGCTTGCATACGCTGCAGTGCAATACCGAGCCGTGGTGTGCCCTGCTTGAAGGTGTCAGATGATCAGAAAGCCACTGCTTCTGCGGGCAAGTCCTCGAGCTTTGACAAGCTCACGCACCCCAACACCCATGCCTCCCGCCTCAATCTATGTCTGCAAACTCTAAGGCCCTAAGACTCTCAGGATCATTAAGGGCTCTATTTCCGACTACCCTAACTCCGCAAATCCTAAGGTCCGAAGACCTTAAAATTTGCTAAAGAAAGCTCTTCTTTGTCTTCGACTCAGGCTCTCAAAAAGGAGTTCCAGAGGCTCATGGAAACTAAAACGAAGCAGCATACGTGGCCGAGCACGACCCAGCAGATGGAGTGGCAGCAAGTTGTGGCTACAGAGTGGTTCCTCTGCTACATGCAAGATGGGGACAAGTTTGCAGCTGGCCCCAACTCTGCTTGGCTGTCTGTCTTGGCTGGGGCAGCAGGCGAGGTGGTAGCATGCCAGCGTGCAGGAGAGATCATGTTGATCTTGGCTGTTGGATCTTATGGCTTCGCTGCTTGGGACCTGGAGCTGGCGGCAGGAGTCCGCACGGCTGCTGGGATGTCGGCTTTCCGGCCCTACAGGCACAATGCCATCCGATTCCACCACATCACGGAGCTGGAGGACTGGGTTTCCGTTCCTGTCAAGCCTGGCCTGTCTGGCCCGCACGGCCCGCTGCACCTGGAACAGACCTCTGAGGCCATGTCGCTGCCCTTGGCTAGAATCCATGCCGGACTCAATCTGACATGCAAGCAGTGCCAGGACCTGTTGGCATTGTTCAAAGTCAACTTTCGCAAAAACCAGTCACGAGCCAGCTTGCACGGCCTAATCCTCGATCTTTTCTTGGAAACCGAGCACGAGAAAGAAGAGGCCAGGAGGAAGATGGCTGCCTGCTTGCTTCCACAAGAAGAAGAACACGCTGAGGACAGTGACATGGAGGAGTTGTTGGAACAGCTCGAGGATCTCGAGAATCAGGGCGATCCAGAGATCCAGAAAGAGAAGGAGAAGATCAAACAAAGGAGAACTGGACGGATCGCTGTCCCCAGAGCTGCTGGTCCCGACGAGGGAGAACAAGTTCCGAAACGGAAGGCTAAGGCCAAGGCTCCGCCAAAGCAACGGAAGAAAGGCTTGCTCGAGCCGAAGATGAAGGCTCATCTAGGGCACGGGTTTACAGGCTGAGGGCTTTGGATTTTGCTGGGTTTGGAGTTTAGTTTCAGAGTGAAGTTTAGCTAGCTCTCGGGCTCAGGGTGATTCTCTGCAGGCACGACGGAAGAAAACTCTGAAGGCCAAAACGGCAGCCCGTCGCCGAGAGGAGGAAGCCAAGAAGAAGGAATCGAACTTGAAACCTTTTTGTTGCTTAGGGTCTGGGCTAGGGTATCTTGGGAACTAGGGTGGAGGTTCAGGTTGTTGGGTTTAGGGTTTCGTCTTGAAAGCTTTCAACCCTGAACCCCACACACAAGACCTGAAGCGCAATCTGTAAGGCCGAAATTGAAATGGACCAGGGAGCCCATGACAGAGATGAGGAAGCCATGTTTGCAGATGAGGAGGCCATCTTGACGGTGTCGAGCTGCTTAGGGTTTGGGCTAGGGTATCTTGGGAACTAGGGTGGAGGTTCAGGCTTTTGGGTTTAATCAGGTGTTGCGGACTGAAGGCTCTCAACCCTGAACCCCACACCCAAAACCTGAAGCTCAATCTGGAAGGCCGAAATGGACCAGGAAGCACCTCGCAGAGAGGAGGAAAACATCTTTGCACAGGAGGAGGCCATCTTGACGGTGTCGAGCTGCTTCTGCTTTGGGCTAGGGTATCTTGGGAACTAGGGTGGAGGTTCAGGCTTTTGGGTTTAGGTGGTTCGGATTGAAGGCTCTCAGCCCTGAACCCCACACTCAAAACCTGAAGCTCAATCTGGAAGGCCGAAATGGACCAGGAAGCCCATCGCAGAGAGGCAGAGGAGGAGGCCATCTTGACGGTGTCGAGCTGCTTCCGGTTTGGGCCAGGGTATCTTGGGAACTAGGGTGGAGGTTCAGGCTTTTGGTTTTAGGGGTTTTCGGTTTAGGTTTTTCGGTTTAGGCTTTAGGGCTCTCAACCCTAAACCCCGAAACCCTAAACCCGAAACCAAAGACGAAGCCCGCCGCCGAGAGGACAAAGCCATTGTCGAGTTTGAAACTTTTGTGTGATTTGTCTAGGGTTCGGGCTAGGGTATCTTGGGAGTTGTGGTGTAGGTTTGGTTAGTTTGGGCTTGGGCTTTCAACCCTCAAACCGAAACCCTATTCCCGAAAGCCAATCTGACAGGCCGAAGAAAAGGCCGAAGAGGAAGTTTGGGCTCGGGTATTTGGGGAATATGGTTCAGGTTTGTGTTGTAGGATTTCGGGTGTAGGCTTGAGGGCTCTAGGTGCTGGTGGTGCTGCTGGTGAGGGTGTGGCTCTATACTAAACCATCAATCCCCAACCCGAAGTACCAAACCCGAAACCCAACCTGGAAGGCTGATGAAGAGGAAGCCCATCGCCCAGAGGAGGAAGCCGAGAAGGAGTCGAGTAAGGCTTGAGGGCGCGAAACGATCTATCCCCAACCTTAAGTACCAAACCCAAATCCCAATCTGGAAGCCCCATATGGACCGTCGCCTACAAAAGGAAGCCTATTTGTGGTTTAGTGTTTGGGGGTATCCTAGGGCGAGGGGTTGAGGTTTTAAGGTTTCGGCTTGAGGGCTCCTCAACCCAACCCAAAACCCAAAGCCCGATCTGGAAGGTCGAAGACGAGGCCGCAGAGGAAGCCCGTCGCCGAAAGGAGGAACCCACTCTTTTTGTGCTAAGGTTTGGGCTAGGGTATTTTGAAGTATCTTGGTAATATGGTCTGGTTTGGGCTTTAGGTTTCAGCCTTCAGGGGCTTGCCTTTTGTGGGTCTAGGTATCGGGTTTCCAGTGTCGGGTGCTGAGTTCAGGCTGGCCCTCAGAATGCTGCCGCTTCCAGCAGCCTGCCTGCTCCCAGTGCCGGTCCTGCCCCATCCGATGCAGCCCTTGGGACTAAATTTTCTTTGCTCTATGTTGAGCTGCATATCAACTTGAGTTGTCTGTTTTGTGAATTGAAACTCCCTGGCTCCCTCAGACCTCGCCCCTAACACTATTCAGCTGAGGAGGATTCTGTGGTACCTGCTTCCAGTCGTCGGGGTGCACCGAGAATTCACAGCTCTCCAATGGAACTTCTTGACCAATTATGTGCTCCGCAAGCTCGCATGACTCTCAGGGTCAACGATTACAGATGGAACGTCGAGTTCAAGGCGACACACACATATTGGGTGGAAGAGTTTGGAAAGAAAAGCTTCTCGAAGACGTTCACCAAGCAAAATTGGCAGGATCCTCTCAGGCAGGTACACTGCCATATGTGGACCAAATGGGATCTTGCAAGGGATGACTTCCCGCTTGATGAAGGCATCGAAGAACAACACCCTGGTGTGGTGGACGCTGATGTTCTTCGGGGCCTGGCTCCGATAATAGCTGCACTTCCGCCAAAGAAAAACTACTAGGCTTCGCAGACTATGCCTTCGATGAGTTCGTGCTGTAGTCGCTGCTGAACCTGTCTGAAATCAGCAGTCTGAAATCAGCAGTCTGAAATCAGCTTCGTCTGAAATCAGCAGTCTGAAATCAGCAGTCTGAAATCAGCATAGCCATGATGCCTGCCACTCCTCAGCCGAAGCGGCTTCGGGTCTGAAATCAGCAGTCTGAAATCAGCAGTCTGAAATCAGCATAGCCATGATGCCTGCCTCACTCCTCAGCCGAAGCGGCATTCCAACTAACCGAACGGGCGGGAGGAAAAGAGCAAATGGGGGAGGCCGCTAACCCATGATTAGGTTATATCTCTTTCTGCTGAGCACATGCTTTCTGTTCTCTTGGATCGACGACAGAATGACACTGCCCATGGCTCTCTCGAAAGCGTTTGCTTGGACGGCACACTAGCAATGAGTTGAGGTTTTGCATTCCGGGTAAAGTGTTCTCTCGAAGAATGTCATGTACTTGGTCCCTTGTCACGTGCCATGTCTTGGTTGGCTTGCTGCTTGCTTTCGACTCGCCCTACCCATCCTGCATGCCCCAGCTCCGTGGTCTTACAGACCGCGCTCCAGTCGGGCTCGGACCCGAGTTATGGGTCCTTGACCGTGCGGGACAGTGTCGTTGGCCGGCGCTGGGGATTTATTCTGTCTGTGCTCGCCTAGCAAAGTGGTGTGCCCACGGCAGGTGATTCAGCGCAGATTGCAGGGAAGGCCCGACTACTAAATACTATGCCACGTACCCGCGCCCGCGGGCAAAGTCTTGAAGCACTTTGCCCATCGCTGGAAGTTGCCCGCGTGGCCCTGCATGGCATCTTATGTCACACCAACCTTACCAACAAGTCGCGGTGTGTCCAGTTTTGATTCACCAGCCGCGCTTGCATGCCGATGGCCGGGCATGGGGTCGCTTTGGGGGACCGCGGAAGACGGAACCGACGAGGACTTGGGGCCAACCACCAGAGCGGACACCTGGTGATGACAGCCAGCCACATGGGCTAACGTGCTGGCTGGGTCCGAGCTCGGCACCCGAGTGTCCACCTCAGCAACATGGGAGGCCAAATATCGAGCAGTAGTACAGTAATTAGAGTGTCAGTCGAACCTCCTCGGGGTTGCCTTACCTAAGGAGTAAACCCCTGCCCCATCGGGGTTGCTCCCCACACCATTGGCCAGGTGTGAGGCGTTCGGTTTGCCTGTGTCACAGCCTTGAGGCCAACCTATCCCAGGGGCAGGGGATAGATGACAGCCGGGCACATGGGCTAATGCGCCGGCTGGGGCCTGACCTGGTGACATCGAAGCAGTCATGCAAGTCACCGGAAGCAATACCGGACAAAGAAGGGAGGCCGTTCTTGGGACATGGCTGTGTTGTTGAGCTGGTGTGTTCCTCCGTCTCATTCATGCCTGTTATCACAGAGAACCTTGCTGTTGGGTTGTCTTTGTCGAAGGCAGAGTGCCAACATGTTCAGAATGGGGTTTGGTGTATGTTGCTCTACCAAGCGGCAGCTGCATGCCCGCCAGTTTTGGCAGCTACACTGAGCACATCTGGCGGTTTCAGCTGGGGGAAACAAGCACAAGTCTAGAAAAGTGTTTGAAGTTCTCCGCAGATACAACGAAGAATTTCGAATAATAAACCTCGGTGTTCCATTTTGGCAGGTCCTCGAGCCGTGCCAGGAAGCTTAAACCATGAGCCCTAAACTTCCCTAAACCGTGTTTAAGCTTCAAATTGAAACCCACAATCTTCCAAATAATTTGAGTGTCCACCTCAGCAACATGGGAGGCCAAATATCGAGCAGTAGTACAGTAATTAGAGTGTCAGTCGAACCTCCTCGGGGTTGCCTTACCTAAGGAGTAAACCCCTGCCCCATCGGGGTTGCTCCCCACACCATTGGCCAGGTGTGAGGCGTTCGGTTTGCCTGTGTCACAGCCTTGAGGCCAACCTATCCCAGGGGCAGGGGATAGATGACAGCCGGGCACATGGGCTAATGCGCCGGCTGGGGCCTGACCTGGTGACATCGAAGCAGTCATGCAAGTCACCGGAAGCAATACCGGACAAAGAAGGGAGGCCGTTCTTGGGACATGGCTGTGTTGTTGAGCTGGTGTGTTCCTCCGTCTCATTCATGCCTGTTATCACAGAGAACCTTGCTGTTGGGTTGTCTTTGTCGAAGGCAGAGTGCCAACATGTTCAGAATGGGGTTTGGTGTATGTTGCTCTACCAAGCGGCAGCTGCATGCCCGCCAGTTTTGGCAGCTACACTGAGCACATCTGGCGGTTTCAGCTGGGGGAAACAAGCACAAGTCTAGAAAAGTGTTTGAAGTTCTCCGCAGATACAACGAAGAATTTCGAATAATAAACCTCGGTGTTCCATTTTGGCAGGTCCTCGAGCCGTGCCAGGAAGCTTAAACCATGAGCCCTAAACTTCCCTAAACCGTGTTTAAGCTTCAAATTGAAACCCACAATCTTCCAAATAATTTGAGTGTCCACCTCAGCAACATGGGAGGCCAAATATCGAGCAGTAGTACAGTAATTAGAGTGTCAGTCGAACCTCCTCGGGGTTGCCTTACCTAAGGAGTAAACCCCTGCCCCATCGGGGTTGCTCCCCACACCATTGGCCAGGTGTGAGGCGTTCGGTTTGCCTGTGTCACAGCCTT